TTTGCTTTACTTCTTTCTTTTTTCTTCTTTCCCTCATCTCAGTCATTCCTTCCTTTGAGCAGTTTCTTTCCCTTTCCTATCATCTATTGTACATTTTGAGTTTTACCTAGTCTTTCAGGTTCCTGCACCAAGGAGACAATATGATGTTTACACATGTGGGTCCAATTTGTTTCACTTATGAGTATGCTCTGTAGTTGCATCCATTCACCTACAAGAGCCTCGAGTTTATCTTTTTTAATAGCTGAGTAGTGCTTCATTGTATAAAAATACCACAGCTTTTTTACCCATTCCTCAGTGAGTGGGCATCTGTGTTGTTTCCAAGATTTAGCTATAACAAAATGTGCTGCTATATACATGTGTGCACATATATCGCTATGGTATGACGTCTTTAATTCTTCTGGGAAAATACCCAGAAGGGGAATAGCTAGGTTAAATGGGACCTCTAATCTTAGTTCTGTGAGGAATCTGCAAATTGATTTCCACAGTGGTTTTACCAATCTACACTCCCACCAGCAGTGGAGAAGGGTTCCTTTCTCCCCATAGCCTCTCCAGCATTTGTTATTGGTTGATGTCTTGATGATAGCCATTCCTTCTGGGGTGAGATGGAATCTCAGTGTTGTTTTAATTTGCATTTCTCAAATGACTAATGACGTTGAACATTTTTTCATGTATTTACTTGCCATTAGTATCTCTTCATTAGAGAAGTGTGCATTCATCTCAAATGCCCATTTTTGGATTGGGTCTTTGAATTTGAGAGGCCTGATTTTTTTAATTCTTTATATGTCCTAGATAGAAGTCCTTTGTCTTAGCAGCAGTTGGCTAAAACTTTTCCCAATCCGTGGGTTTCTTTTTACTTTATTGATGATTTCTTTAGATGTGCAAAAACTTTTCAATAAGCTGAGATTCCAGGTGTTGATTCTTTGGAGTATTTCCCGCGCAGTTTGGTTTTTGTTCATGAATTCTCTGCCTACCTCAATGTCATCAAGATTTTATCCTACTTTCTCTTCCAATAAATTTAGTGTTTCTATTTTAATACTTAGATCTTTGATCCATTTTGACTTTAGTTTAGTGCATGGTGAAAGACATGGGTCTAGTTTTAGTCTTCAGCATTTGGAAAGCCAGTTTTTCCAGCACCATTTATTAAAGAGGATATCTTCCTTCCATTGAACATATTTGGCCTGTTTGTCAAAGATAAAGTCACTGAGTGTGTTTGTAGTTGTATCTGCATCTTCTAATCTGTTCCACTGATCTGCAGGTCTGTTTTTGTGCCAGTACCATGCTGATTTTATCACAGTAGCTTTATAATACAATTTAAGTCAGGAATTGTGATGCCTCCTGCCTTTCCTTGTTTCCCAAAATTGATTTTCCTATTCTAGGCCTCTTCTGGTTGCAGATGAACTTTAGGAGTGTTTTTCTCTAGATCTGTGAGGTATACTAATGCTATTTTAATTGGAATTGCATTGAATCTCTACAGCAATTTTGGGAGTGTGGCCATTTTCACAATGTTGGTTCTTCCTATCCATGAGCAAAGAATATCTTTCCATTTTCTGATATCCTCTTTGATCTCTTTTATCAGAGTACTATAATTTTCACTGTATATATCTTTTACTTCTTTTGTTAGATTGATTCCTAAGTATTTCATCTTTTTAATGCTCTTC